AATCTGTTTGAAAGTAGAACTATTTCTGGTGATGTGCCATGCGTTGAAATATAAGTCCATTATATTTTTATAAATTTATGTACACAATTCACATATTTGAGAAAAATTTCTGGGCTGAGCTGTTAATTAAAAAATATATATTTCAAGCAAAACAATAACCGTTTGCAGTAGGCAGGTTTCGAACCTACGCTGCCATGGAGAATCTGATTTCTAGTCAGACGCCTTAACTTACAGACCAAATCTAAATCTGTTTGAAAGTAGAACCATTTCTGGTGATGTGCCATGCTTTGAAATATAAGGGCATTATATTGTTATAAATTTATGCACTCAATCCCCATAATTGACAAAATTTTCTTGGCTGAGCTGCTAATTACAAAAATTATATTTCAAGCAAAACAATGGTCGTTTGCAGTAGGTAGGTTTCGAACCTATGATGATAGAGAATCTGATTTCTAGTCAGACGCCTGATCCGACAGACCAAGGCTAAATCTGTTTGAAAGTCGAACTATTTCTGGTGATGTGCCATGCGTTGAAATATAAGGCCATTATATTTTTATAAATTTATGCACTCAACCCCATATTTGAGAAAAATTTCTGAGCTGAGCTGTTAATTAAAAAATATATATATTAAGCAAAACAATGGTCGTTTGCAGCAGGTAGGATTCAAACCTACGCTGCTATAGAGAATCTAATTTCGAGTCAGACACCTTAACCGAGAGACCAAGGATATATCTGTTTGAAAGTCGAACTATTTGTGATGATGTGCCATGCGTTGAAATATAAGTAAATTATATTTTTATAAATTTATGTACTCAATCCCCATATTTAAGAAAAATTTCTGGGCTGAGCTGTTAATTAAAAAATATATATTTCAAGCAAAACAATGGCCGTTTGTAGTAGGTGGGTTTCGAAACTACGCTGCCATAGAGAATCTGATTTCTAGTCAGACGCCTTAACCGACAGACCAATGCTAAATCTGTTTGAAAGTAGAAACATTTCTGGTGATGTGCCATGCTTTGAAATATAAGGGCATTATATTGTTATAAATTTATGCACTCAATCCTTATAATTGACAAAATTTTCTTGGCTGAGTTGCTAATTACAAAAATTATATTTCAAGCAAAACAATGGTCGTTTGCAGTAGGTAGGTTTCGAACCTAGGATGATAGAGAATCTGATTTCTAGTCAGACGCCTTATCCGACAGACCAAGGCTAAATCTGTTTGAAAGTCGAACTATTTCTGGTGATGTGCCATGCGTTGAAATAAAAGGCCATTATATTTTTTTAAATTTATGTAGTCAATCCCCATATTTGAGAAAAATTTCTGGGCTGAGCTGTTAATTAAAAAACATATATTTCAAGCAAAACAATGGCCGTTTGCAGTAGGTAGGTTTGGAACCTGCACTGCCATAGAAAATCTGATTTCAAGTCAGACGCTTTAACCGACAGACTAAGGCTAAATCTGTTTGAAAATCGAACTATTTCTGGTGATGTGCCATGCTTTGAAATATAAGGACATTATATTGTTATAAATTTATGCACTCAATCCCCATAATTGACAAAATTTTCTTGGCTGAGCTGCTAATTACAAAAATTATATTTCAAGCAAAACAATGGTCGTTTGCAGTAGGTAGGTTTCGAACCTATGATGATAGAGAATCTGATTTCTATTCAGACGCCTTATCCGACAGACCAAGGCTAAATCTGTTTGAAAGTAGAACTATTTCTGGTGATGTGCCATGCGTTGAAATATAAGTCCATTATATTTTTATAAATTTATGTACTCAATTCCCATATTTGAGAAAAATTTCTGGGCTGAGCTGTTAATTAAAAAATATATATTTCAAGCAAAACAATGGCCGTTTGTAGTAGGTGGGTTTCGAAACTTCGCTGCCTTAGAGAATCTGATTTCTAGTCAGACGCCTTAACCGACAGACCAAGGCTAAATCTGTTTGAAAGTCGAACTATTACTGGTGATGTGCCATGCGTTGAAATATAAGTAAATTATATTTTTATAAATTTATGTACTCAATCCCCACATTTAAGAAAAATTTCTGTTCTGAGCTGTTAAATAAAAATTATATATTTCAAGCAAAACAATGGCCGTTTGTAGTAGGTGGGTTTCGAAACTACGCTGCCATAGAGAATCTGATTTCTAGTCAGACGCCTTAACCGACAGACCAGGGCTAAATCTGTTTGAAAGTAGAACTATTTCTGGTGATGTGCCATGCGTTGAAATATAAGTCCATTATATTTTTATAAATTTATGTACTCAATTCCCATATTTGAGAAAAATTTCTGAGCTGAGCTGTTAATTAAAAAATATATATTTCAAGCAAAACAATGGCCGTTTGCAGTAGGCAGGTTTCGAACCTACGCTGCCATGGAGAATCTGATTTCTAGTCAGACGCATTAACCTACAGACCAAGGCTAAATCTGTTTGAAAGTAGAACTATTTCTGGTGATGTGCCATGCGTTGGAATATAAGTCCATTATATTTTTATAAATTTATGTACACAATTCACATATTTGAGAAAAATTTCTGGGCTGAGCTGTTAATTAAAAAATATATATTTCAAGCAAAACAATAACCGTTTGCAGTAGGCAGGTTTCGAACCTACGCTGCCATGGAGAATCTGATTTCTAGTCAGACGCCTTAACTTACAGACCAAATCTAAATCTGTTTGAAAGTAGAACCATTTCTGGTGATGTGCCATGCTTTGAAATATAAGGGCATTATATTGTTATAAATTTATGCACTCAATCCCCATAATTGACAAAATTTTCTTGGCTGAGCTGCTAATTACAAAAATTATATTTCAAGCAAAACAATGGTCGTTTGCAGTAGGTAGGTTTCGAACCTATGATGATAGAGAATCTGATTTCTATTCAGACGCCTTATCCGACAGACCAAGGCTAAATCTGTTTGAAAGTAGAACTATTTCTGGTGATGTGCCATGCGTTGAAATATAAGTCCATTATATTTTTATAAATTTATGTACTCAATTCCCATATTTGAGAAAAATTTCTGGGCTGAGCTGTTAATTAAAAAATATATATTTCAAGCAAAACAATGGCCGTTTGTAGTAGGTGGGTTTCGAAACTACGCTGCCATAGAGAATCTGATTTCTAGTCAGACGCCTTAACCGACAGACCAAGGCTAAATCTGTTTGAAAGTCGAACTATTTCTGGTGATGTGCCATGCGTTGAAATATAAGTAAATTATATTTTTATAAATTTATGTACTCAATCCCCATATTTAAGAAATATTTCTGGGCTGAGCTGTTAACTAACAATTATATATTTCAAGCAAAACAATGGCCGTTTGCAGTGGGTAGGTTTCGAACCTAAGCTACTATAGAGAATCTGATTTCAAGTCAGACGCCTTAACCGACAGACCAAGGCTAAATCTGTTTGAAAGTCGAACTATTTCTGGTGATGTGCCATGCGTTGAAATATAAGTAAATTATATTTTTATAAATTTATGTACTCAATCCCCATATTTAAGAAAAATTTCTGTTCTGAGCTGTTAAATAAAAATTATATATTTCAAGCAAAACAATGGCCGTTTGTAGTAGGTGGGTTTCGAAACTACGCTGCCATAGAGAATCTGATTTCTAGTCAGACGCCTTAACCGACAGACCAGGGCTAAATCTGTTTGAAAGTAGAACTATTTCTGGTGATGTGCCATGCGTTGAAATATAAGGCCATTATATTTTTTAAAATTTATGTAGTCAACCCCCATATTTGAGAAAAATTTCTGGGCTGAGCTGTTAATTAAAAATTATATATTTCAAGCAAAACAATGGCCGTTTGCAGTGGGTAGGTTTCGAACCTACGCTGCTATAGAGGATCTGATTTCAAGTCAGACGCCTTAACCGACAGACCAAGGCTAAATCTGTTTGAAAGTAGAACTATTTCTGGTGATGTGCCATGCGTTGGAATATAAGTCCATTATATTTTTATAAATTTATGTACTCAATCCCCATATTCAAGAAAACTTTCTGTTCTGAGCTGTTAATTAAAAATTATATATTTCAAGCAAAACAATGGCCGTTTGTAGTAGGTGTGTTTCGAAACTACGCTGCCATAGAAAATCTGATTTCAAGTCAGACGCTTTAACCGACAGACTAAGGCTAAATCTGTTTGAAAATCGAACTATTTCTGGTGATGTGCCATGCTTTGAAATATAAGGACATTATATTGTTATAAACTTATGCACTCAATCCCCATAATTGACAAAATTTTCTTGGCTGAGCTGCTAATTACAAAAATTATATTTCAAGCAAAACAATGGTCGTTTGCAGTAGGTAGGTTTCGAACCTATGATGATAGAGAATCTGATTTCTATTCAGACGCCTTATCCGACAGACCAAGGCTAAATCTGTTTGAAAGTAGAACTATTTCTGGTGATGTGCCATGCGTTGAAATATAAGTCCATTATATTTTTATAAATTTATGTACTCAATTCCCATATTTGAGAAAAATTTCTGGGCTGAGCTGTTAATTAAAAAATATATATTTCAAGCAAAACAATGGCCGTTTGTAGTAGGTGGGTTTCGAAACTACGCTGCCATAGAGAATCTGATTTCTAGTCAGACGCCTTAACCGACAGACCAAGGCAGTAGATGTATAGTGCCGATATAAGCAACAGAAACCGTACATAACCTCAATTTCCTAACCCCCCCGCAGCGGGGGCCCCCCGCGCGTGGCGTCCTAGTGTCCCCCCTGTCTACCAGAGTGCGCTCCGCCCCCCACCCAGCTTGTGTAGTGTCCTGTTTTGCCCCGGTTCCGCCCGTCGCTGCTAGATGTCGCGCGCTTGTGTAGCGTCCTGTTTTGCCCCGGTTCCGCCCGTCGCTGCTAGATGTCGCGCGCTCCGACCGTCGTAGGCCCCCCCGGTAGAGGGCGGTGACGGTGCGGCGCGGTGACGCGGTGGATCGGGAGGATAATTAAATAAACTTGAATTTTAATACATTTTATTTTATTTTATTTATAAAATTGGTCTGGCGAGGAGTTTCTTCTTCTTTTTATGTCGATTCAGTCGACCATCCCATTGTTCCTGTTCCTTGCGTTGTTCTTCTTCCCGTTCCCGGAGGAAATCTAAATACGAAGTGCACTCCTCGCCGTCCCACTCCGTCGACCACCCACCCGGGTACTCCTGCTGCTCCTTTGTTTCTTTTGATCCACCGGGTTGCTCCTGCTGCTGGTGATGTTCCCTTGTCGTTTCATGTCGTACCGGGAATTCTAACCCCCGGTACTCTTTGTGTGATTTGAATATGTGACGCCCTAAGCGATGCGCCAACATAATATGCGACTTGTCATACGGACAAACCGCGATTTTTTCTAGAACAAAACAAAGTATGATATGTAGCGTTTCCTATAAAACACACATTTTTTTTTTTTAAACAAAACTTCCAAAAAGGGGGGTTATCAAATAATTTTAAAAATTGTTTTTTAAGTTATACGCGCATACCAAAATTCACGTTTCAATTCACTGTCATTTAAATGTAAGTGTATTATTGTCAAAAGGGCAAACTGCAATTTTTTAGTACAAAAAATAAACAAAAATATGTATATATTTCGCGTTTTCCCCATAAAACGCACATTTTTGAAACAAAACTTTCAGTAATTTTAAAAATTGTTTATTTTTTAAAAGCCAAAATTCCCTATTCACTGTCATTTAAAAGATATTAAAAACGCTCAATTTAATTCGATTATTATTGTCAAAAAGGCAAACTGCAATTTTTTAGTACAAAAAATAAAACATTTTTGAAACAAATTTAAAAATTGTTTATTTTTTAAAAGCCAAAATTCCCTTTTCCATTCACTGTCATTTAAAAGCTATTAAAAACACTCAATTTAAATCGGTTATTATGCAACGTAAAAAAGATGAGTATCATATTTTAAAACAGGTAGAAACTAACCAAAAAAGTGATAACCCAAACTGAAACCCACAAGAAAAGACGCGCACTGTATAAAGGTAATTAAAATATAAAACTTACCAGTTGTAGGGTCGTAGGGAAATGGACATCGCACTTCTCTATTCATTGCACTGAATATAGTCTATAATACACATGCAACGTATTTATACACATGCACTCCCTTCCATGGTTGAATTAAAAGTCGAAAGGTCTTCTACCCACAAGCACCAACGCCGATTTGAATAGACGCGATGTTGTCGCCAGACAACCGTGCAGGTAGAAGTCTCAAGGTCAACACGCTTTCACACGGGAACGCAACCGTTTCGGACGTTGGACGAACGTATGTTGCCGCAAAAGATCAAGGCCAACTTGCTTTCATTTTTTACAATCTCCGTATGGGATGTGGAATTTCAAAACGCGCCGAGTCTAAATGTCAAGTTGTTTTGCTTGTTGAGAATAATAATTAATTGCCCCCTTTATATTTGCTCCGTGGGATTAACGTAATGGGAAAAATTTGTTGCAACGCATGTGGAGGTGTCTTCGTTTGTTAACTTTTAGAAAGTATTCTCGCACCGTATAAATACATCTCATTTTTCTCTGTTTTGTCAGTAGTTGTTTTTGGTATTATTCGTGCAACGTGGAAGCTAACTTAGTGGTTTGGTGTTCGTACAAAAAAGCAGTAAGTACCTTTTTTATTGTCTTATTTTAATTCTTTAACATTTGTTATTATTTTATAAAGTTCCTAAAGATCATCTTAGTACTCTCAACCCGTAACCGCAAATAGAATAGCAGCAATCTTAAGCGTAAGTTTTTTTTATTTTTTTAATTTTGAGATAAAATAATTAATAATAATTTATAGATGGACTTAAGTCAACTGAATCAAACCTGTCTTGCAGAAGGTGATTTTGAGCAGCCGATTGTCAAACTGCATGAATTGCCGATAGGCGTTCCGTTTAAAATTACTAGAGCCAAAATTGTTAATACAAAATTTGGCAATTCCGTGTTGCTGCAATTAGAAAATTCCGTAGTATTTCTTCCTACTCGCGTGACAGAAGCTTTCCGTCCGAGACTAGAACACTTTGCGTCGGGGCAGTACAAACTGGTCTACGAGGGATCCAAAGATATTGGAAAGCCCAACTCTTTAAAGAAATTCAAAATAATTCAAAATTAATCAACATATTATACAGGGTAAGTCTTATTTACTGTTATATATTTAATAAACCACGATGCGCGTAAAGCAGATCATTCATAGAGCGCAAATCTTAATTTTAACCTTACAAAAATTAAAAAAGCATATTTCCGACAAGTTCACTCTTAGAGATAGTGATGTGTGGCTTAGGAGACTAAATAAAAATATTGAATCTTGCAACCAAATCGTTTCTAACGAAAAGGATTTCTCTATTGGGTTAAAAAGAAAATTACAAACTACAATTCAACATCTGAAAGCTATTAGAAAAATTATTCTTAATTATCAACATAAGCATTTTGGATTGGGATTACAAAGTAGTAGCCGCGAGACAAACACAAATGAAATGGTTGTATGGGAATCGGTAGCGTCGTGTTTCCAGGGAAGAGTTCAGACCGGTGTCATAATTAATTTACTTCATAAAGATTTAATTCAATTTTTAAACGATTCTCGTCCAATATTTCAACAAAAAATTAGTCAAATTTTAAAGAAATTTTTATTGCTGAAAGTAAATACCACATTTTGCGGTGAATTTATTAAGGCAAAAAATGATGTCCAAGGCGAAGTTGATGTTAAATATCTGAGTACCGGAAATGCTGTAGTTGATTTAGGAACAGAATTGAATGATTGGTTTGTTGAAAATGTGCAAGATAAAATTTTAAATCAAATGTCAGAGTTTCAGGAACGTGATTCCGGGTGGGCTTTAAATAATATTATTTATTTAGAGATTAACATTAATAAATTTGAAATGGGTAACGGGTCATCCTTCGTTGAGTTGCCTAAAGAAATTGCGAATAAAAGGGCTTGTATTAACATTAGAAATGACGATCAAGCGTGTTTTTATTGGTCAGTTGTATGCGGACTCTTTCCAGCACGTTTTCGTCAGTATTTACCCTCTTCATATCCATACTACAAAAGTGTTTTGAAAACTGAAAATTTACAAACACCTATGGAAATGAATAAAATAAGCAAATTTGAAAAAGACAATGATATTTCCATCAATGTTTATATCTTAGAGCTTAATAAAAATGAAAAAACTAGTTTTTATTCCGTGTTACCTGCACGATTAACAAAAGAAAAACGCGAAAAACATTCAAATTTGTTGTTAATACAAAATAAATATTATCCAAAAGTTAATGATTTTGATCCTGATCCGCAAGATAATGATTATGAAGAAATAAAATATCACTATTGTTACATTAAAAATTTGTCTCGATTAGTTTCCTCACAGCTCAGTAAATATAATCACAAGAAATACATTTGCGATAGGTGTTTGAATTATTTCAATAACGAAACTCGTCTACATGACCACGAAACAATATGTTCCAGTTTCAATGAGTATAAAGTGTCTTTTCCCAAATATGATTACGTTGAATTTCGAAACCATATATATAAACAAAGGACTCCGTTTGTAATTTACGCCGATTTTGAGAGTCAATTGAGAAAAGTAAATTTGAAAATTTCAGATAAAACCTCGAAATACCAAAAGCACGAAGCTTACAGTGCTGCATATTACTTTAAATGTTCTTATGATGATTCAATATCATTTTTCAAAAGTTATCGTGGTCTAGATTGTATTGATTGGTTCGTGGAGGAAATATCTAATTTATCAAAATTTGTTCGTTCAAAATTTAAGGATATTATACCAATGGATAGTGAAATTAGTCTAGATCAAAGGTCGAGTCATTGTCATATTTGTGAAAAACCTTTTTTAAAAGAAGATGTTATTGTTCGTGACCATGATCATTTTACTGGTAAATTTAGAGGTTTTGCCCATCAGGCTTGTAATTTAAATTTTAAAAAAATATTTGTAGTGCCCGTAGTATTCCAGAACCTTTCTGGATACGATAGCCACTTCCTGCTTCCGGTTTTAGCAAAAAAAAGCTATGTATCCATAGTTCCGGTTAATAAGGAAAAATACATCTCTTTTACATATTTCGAACCTGATTATAACATAAAATTTAGATTTATAGATTCGTTTAGATTTTTGGGAGCATCTCTGGATAATTTAGTTTCCAGTATGGATAAAAATGAACTATATATTTTAAGAAAAGAATTTTCCGATCTCGACGAATCAAAATTAAATTTACTGTCGCAAAAAGGTATTTTTTGTTACGATTACATCGACCATATAGACAAATTAAATGAAACAACTTTACCCCCGATTGAAGAATTCTATAATAAATTAAGTGAAAGCAATATTAGTGAAGAAAAATATTCCCACGCACAAAGTGTTTGGCAGTCGTTTGAAATAAAAAATTTAGGCGAGTATTCAGATTTGTATTTAAAAACCGACGTTATTCTTCTGGCAGATATATTCGAAAATTTTCGAAAAACTTGTATGGCAACACACGTTTTGGATCCGGCGTGGTATTTCAGTATGCCCGGGTATACATGGGATTGCATGCTTAGATTCACAAAATGTCGTTTAGAACTTTTGCGCGACATTGACCAAATTATGTTTATCGAGCGGGCTATACGAGGTGGAATTTCGGTGTGTGTTGGTAGATATGCGGAGGCCAACAATAAATATATGCCCAACTACGATTCATCCAGGGATGATTCCTATATCATGTACTTTGACGTCAATAACCTCTATGGCAAGGCCATGTGCGAGCCTCTTCCTTACGGAGGATTCGACTGGATGTCTCATCAAGAGATTGATTCATTTAATGTCATGAACATTCCAGATGAATCTTCCCAAGGATATATCCTAGAGGTAGACCTGGAATACCCGCAGAAATTACATGACACACATAGAGATTTTCCATTTTGTGCCGAACATCGAGTGCCCCCCAATTCAAAGTTACCAAAACTAATGACTACTTTGTATAATAAAGAAAAATACGTCATACACTATCGCAATTTAAAACAGGCTCTCAAAAACGGTCTCGTACTAAAGAAAATTCACAAAATATTAAAATTTAACCAATCTCGTTGGTTGAAATGTTATATCGATCATAATAATAAATTAAGAACCCAAGCAAAGACAAAATTTGGTATAAATTTATACAAATTGTTTAATAATGCCGCTTACGGTAAAACAATGGAAAACATTCGCAAGCATCGTATTGTTAAATTTGTTAAAGCGTGGGATGGTCGCTACGGTGCGAAAAATTTAATTTCTAGTCCTAGATTTCACAGTAGAACCATACTTGATAACAATTTGTTGCTTATAGAATTAAAAAAATCGGAACTTTGCTTTAATAAGCCACTTTATATTGGAATGTCCATATTGGATTTGTCGAAAACGACCATGTACGAGTTTCATTATAATTACATGCTTCCAAATTTGGGTCCCGAAAAATGTAAAATTCAATACATGGATACGGACAGTTTCATTTATAATATCAAATGTTATGACGCATATGAAAGCGTTATTAAGGCCGATTTAACAAAATTTGACACGTCTGATTATCCTAATGACAATCCCTATAATATACCGCAAATCAACAAAAAGGTTTTGGGGTTGATGAAGGATGAGACTAATGGCACCATCATTAGTCATTATGCTGGGTTAAGGTCGAAAATGTATACTTTCAAAATTTTAACGGGTTCGGTAGTTAAAAAGTCAAAGGGTATTCAGTACAATATTGTAAAAAATAAAATTTCATTTGATGACTACGTAGAATGCTTAACAAATTTTAGGGAAAAGTACGCCACTCAACGAACCATTCGTTCATACACTCACAATGTATTTAGCATCGAACAAACAAAAGTTGCCTTGAGTCCTTTAGACGATAAACGTTATCTTTTGCCGAATTCATATGAAACGCTTCCGTGGGGACATTATAAAGTGCCGTAATTATTTTTTAATATATTTTTGTTACAGATTATGGTCAAGCAACTTACATTAGAAAGCCTTTGTATTATAACAATTTGCGAAAATATTAGGTGTAGTGCTGATTTTTTGCTTGAGTCACCTTTGCCTTGGAAACTAACGATACTAATATTTAAATATTATTCGAAATATAGATGGAGGTACCTTAAACAACTAGCGCTCCAGTCTGATGGCAATTCTTTATTAAATTTAGAATTCATTCTGTTGAATAAGAGATTTGGATCGTCTTACAGAAATAGCATTTTGGCAACTCCAACCATTGATTTTGACGGAGAATCCGCTTACTGTTTATGGGTCAGTTATTACAGGATAAAATATTCGGAAATTTTAGTTTGTAAATCTTGTCACTTTATATTTCAAGTAGTTAAAAAATTTAAAAAGAAAAATTTTAGACTTTTATTGGATCACTATCATTTACAGCTGGATATAAATAATTTGAATGATGTATATCACGATAAACAATTTTGGTGTCAAAGCTGCTTTGAAGAAGTTTTGTTCACTGTAGAAACTGAAGATGAATGTAATTTAATGCTTCACGATGAGAGAAAATATGGAAAAAAGTTACGCTTTTCTGATAGCACATTGAACTATTAATACTGTGGTTTTATTATAACATATGTAACTGTAGATAAGGCTTTTATGTATTGATTGTATGCCATTGTATTGCAACAAGAATAAACATGTATATATTTAGACGCTATTTTCTTTTTTACCACCACCACAACACCGCATAATAATTACACAGAAGTTTGTAATTGTATAATTTATTTATTATATACATTATTACTATTTTACAATTTCGTTAAATGCTAAATTATTAAATTGTTCTAGTTTTCTTTTGCACTCTTGAGCTTGCATCCGCGCCACTTGCAAGTCTGTATTAAAAAGCGCAATTTGTGTTTCAATTTCGTTGATATTGCACTCTAATCCCGACAACTGAGACGCCAAGTTTCTTTTTAAATTGAATGCCTCACAAATGACACTTTTTTCTCTACCGTCCGTGAACACTTCGAGCCAATCAGCGGATGACGTTGGAGCTGCAAACGCTTCACTTGTGGTAGTTTTCTTCTTCTTCTTGCGGGATACGACCGACGCACTTTGTTTTCGTTTTGTCGCAGATTTTTTGGTTTGTTGCTCTACAGGAACGAAGCTGGACGGGAGCACTTCTGATGAAGGAAATTGCAACTCGAAATTTTCCAATAAATTATACAATTCGTTGGATGTCACAATTTGCTCTTGAGCCATCATATACACGTATTTATGTCAGAACTTCTAAATCGAGACTAAATTTATTTCAAAACGTCTACGTTGTCTACCCACGAATCGTGCGACTTATCCAATCCCAACCAGCGCACGAGAACCATATTGCCTCGTCTGCGCAACACCTTTTCGACGAGATATAAGTCCGGGTTAACTGTCTTCTGCAATTCTTCCTCATAAAATCCGCCCATTATGGGTTTACCCTGCATATCTTGAAGCAAATACGTTACGGGGTTAGTAACCCGTACTTTAACAATTTTAAACAATTCCGTGGTCCAATTCGGTGTATAACCTTTGTTAAACACGTGCTTGACTTTGCTGATTCTAACGATGTCGCCGACTTTAAGTTTACGAGGACCGAATATTTTTATGCTACTATACGCGGTTTTCAAAATTCTCTTTTCATTGCTCTTACTCACATCGATGGGTTTCGTACCCGTCGTTCTATGTTTTGTGTTATTGTATTCATCAACGATAGAGGCGAGCACATCGATCCATTTGTACGTCCCGCGTAAAGAAAAATGTCGAAACAATTTCTCTTTGAGGGTACGTATCACCCGTTCGACAATTGAGGCCTTTTTTATGTTATACGTACTATAGTGGTTAATTTTATGCTTATCCACAAGTTTCAGAAACGTGTCGTTGTAAAATTCTTTACCGAGATCCGTTTGCAAGTTTTGAGGGTGCCGTCCGTCCTTGAGAATTTTGGAAAACGCCTTGGCGACTTCGACCCCGGTTTTGGTTTTCAACGGGCGACACCATACATATTTTGAGAAACAGTCTATCACAACCAGCACGAATTTAAAATTTCTGTTTTGTTTGCTGTAGCGATCTAATTGGGCCAGATCCGCTTGCCACAGGTCGTCCATCCCTCGTATTATAGTCCGGCGGCGAGCATAATTTCTGCGTGCCGGCTTGTGCAGTTCTCGAACCAGTTGTACCTTCTCTTTATTCATAATGTGTGTTCGGTTGCGATGGAGGATTTAAAACCCTTTGTTTCAATACCTTCATTATATTCTCATTTTCGTTCGTAAGTCGCTCCATTTTGGTTACAATATCATGAAATTGCTGTGACAAAACGGCGACTTTTGTCATGTGCTTTTCCAAATCTTTCTTTGCGCTCATTTCGCTTAGCTTTTGGTGGAAAACTTCGCGAAACTGCATAATTTCATTTTCGAGTGTAGTGCTACTCATTTTCAGTTGTTCTTCAAGACGCGAGAACTTAGTTTTGTCTTCAATTTGTAATCTTTTCGTGTACGCTTCGAGTTTCTGTCCAATAATCTTTCTCAATGCAATTTTTAATAAATTACTTGTCTCATCCACATATTTTTTGTTAGCCACGTCACCGTCGTCGCTAGGCGTTTGGACATTGCAAATTTTTAAATTGTTCATATTGACGTTTCCGTCTGGCATATAATCGAGGGCGCTTCTAATCACAGTATTAGTGAAGGGTCGTCGCAGCGCGCTAGAACGTCCAAACTTGTCCAGACTCATCGTTAAACTAACGTATAAAACCTGATTCTTTTAGCTCTTCAACGATTGAAACTATTTCGTTATCATGAGACGTGTTGCCTGCGTGTTTCGACGCGATTAGTAATTTCAGACGCTCTACGAGTTCATTGACGTCGTCCCAGTATACATATTCAGTAGGAGCGTCATTATAACGCATATTATAACCTTGACCGCTGTACGAGTACGAACGCGACTGAGATTTTATTAAGGGTCGGATGACCTTGGTATATTTTGGTACAGTCGATGCGCCTTTCAAACGTCCGATCGCGTCCCTGTGCACCTGGGTAGCCTCCATTATTTTTTTATATTGTGCCAAATCGTCTTTTGTGTATGCTATGGGATCTTTCAAAAACACCAAATTATACAAGCCGCGGGTACCGGAATATCTCTCGCCGTCTACAATAATATCGCCAGATCCTTGATGAAAATCCAGCGATTTATTGCCGAGAAACCATTTGGATGATATTTTGTCGTAAACGGGTCCGTAAACAATATCGGTGTCGGGCGATTTTACCCATAAATTTTGAATATATGAATGGGAAATTTCTGGATATTGTTCCAGGTATGATTGAAGGGATGCGTTGGCCACGCTCGATGTGTCAAACACATCATCTTCCTCCTCATCGATATTTTGCATCTCAACGCTCTTATTGGGATCCGGCGTTTCCTGAATTTCTTCCATAGGCAAAAATGATACGTTAACCTTATTTTTTGTTTCTTCGTTCGGTTCCTTTTTGTGTTCCCGCTTGACACCTCGACGTTCAGTTTTTATTTCTGCCGGTGACGGTGATAGCTTTATTTTTGCTATACGTTCTAGCGGCTCGCTGACGGGTTTGAAAAGCTTCCGAATTGACGCATCCTCTTCGCTCTTACCCAATTTTAATGTTAAATACTTCTTTCGAATAGATCTAGACAACTCGTTTACTTTTTTTTTTAGCGCCGCGTCGGCGATGTCGGCGGACGTCGCCTTCATGACTGTTTCTATCGACAATTAAATATCGACTTTTATATATTTGTCGAAACCCTTGCGGTAGCGTCCGTTTTTTACGTCGAAATCTTTGACAATTATCAAACAGCCGTACTTTTCTTTCCAGCACTCGGAACAAATTTGTTTAAACGTGTCGTATGAAACGTCGGGTGAGACATGTTCATCATAAACGTGACGTAAATTCATGTCATCCTGTTTAAACAACGCGACAATATTGCAATTGTCACGTATCAATTGCTTGGGTACCTTGGAGTATGTCTGACAGAGATAAATAGCGTCGATGGCCTTGTGTCGACACATCGAAAAATACTCGCGAATTTTATCTTGCTTGTCGCACGCCACGTCGTCGAAAATAAACAGAGAATTCTCTTTCGCGTCGCTAGGGTCGATTATCGAGTCTCTTTCACTGTAGGGATAATATCCAACTCCTTTGACATTGCTCAATACGCGAGATAACAGTTGATATTTTGGTTGATACAACGACTTTGAGTAGACGTAAACATTTTCGAAACTTGCCCCGTTGGGGTTAAAGAGTAGCGCTAACATGGTGTTGGTTTTGCCGCAACCGCTAGGTCCGCAAAACACCGCCCTAAATGAATTGGGTAGCAGTTGACCGTGTTTGCTTTTGTTAAAGAAACCATCTCCGCAAACCAAATCTAAATTATCGATGGGGAGCTTGAGTTTCTGCTGCACCACCCGCATGACTACAATGTTTATTCGAGACACCTCGTATATATATATACGACACAAGCAATTTCCTTTAATTAGTATGTTATGCTTCGCGTCCGGAAGTGGTCTCGTTAACACGCTTATTAACAAGTTACCTTTTGAAGTACACATTCCGGGTTACCAGTTTTGCGGTCCCGGTACAAAATTGGAAAAACGCTTGAACCGAGGCGATAGCGGGGTGAATCCTTTGGACGCTGCGTGTAAGGTACACGACATTGCCTATTCGCAAAACAAATCGTTAGACGAACGTCATAAAGCGGATAAAGAATTGGAAACGCGTGCGTGGCAGCGAGTAAAATCTAAAGACGCAAAGTTTGGTGAAAAAGCTGCCGCATTCTTTGTCACCGCGACTATGAAAACTAAACGTAAGCTCGGTATGGGTCAACAACGGCGTCCCTCTGTTTCGTTTCGACAGGGTGTCGTGAAAAAGGTTCGCAATGCATTAAAGAAGAAACAATTGTTTCATATCGATAACCCTAAAATGCTTAGAAGATCGGCACTGGAAGCGCTTCGAGCTGGCAGAGCCGCTGTAAGAAAAGCGGGAGGACGTAAAAAAATTAGGGTACCTAGAATTATACCGTTCGAATCAAAATCGGGCGGTATTTTACCACTTTTACCGTTATTAGGAGCGCTAGGGGCTTTAGGTTCGCTCTCGGGCGGAGCCGCTGCTATCGCTAAAACTGTCATCGATGCGAAAAACGCACGAAAGAAACTCGAAGAGGACAACCGCCATAACCGAGCTATGGAAGAGATTGGAAAAAAGGGATCGGGTCTATTCTTGAAAAAGAGTCCGCGCGGCGGATTCGGTCTTTATCTGAAGAAACAAAAAAACTCCCAATAAAGCTACCCAGAAGGGCTCTATACGACGTCGATTTAATATCTCTGGCGCGCAAATTAAAAATTCCTCACTTCAGGGGTGTTTTTATGCGAGATAGTTTACCCCGTCGAATCAGATCGCAAGAATGCGGAATCGTAAATTTGGATGTTCGTCGAAATAGAGGAACCCACTGGGTAGCATACAAAAAGAGGAAGGGAAACGATGTTGAGTATTTTGACAGTTTCGGTAACCTTAAACCACCCGCGGAACTTGTTAAATATTTCGGCAACAGCGCCAATATCTACTATAATCACGATAGATATCAAAAGTTTACGCAATACAATTGCGGTCATTTGTGTTTGCAATTTCTCTATAAAAAGGACTGAAATCGCGGACCTATAAGCAGTCAACATGTCGATCATATTTACGTTAAAAGGGAACACGTCGACATTATCCATCGACTTTGTCAATCCGCTGCAGTTGGATGAAGATGTAGAGTACGGTTTAGCGCTGATTGGATTCCACTCTTACAACAACATTCCCAACATAGATAAGGGTTCGAATAAATTTTACTACTTCGATGGTAACAATAAAGAAAACGTAATTGAAATTCCGACCGGGTCCTATGAAATTAGCGACATTGAAACCTACATTAACGAACATCTGCCAAAAAATAAGGAAGAGAAGAATACGATCCCAAAGTTAATAGAGGAGATATCAATCAAACCCAACAATAATACGATAAAGTGTGAAATCTACAGCCCCGTATACGGGGTAAACTTTAAACAACACTCGGACAGTATCGGAAAATTATTGGGGTTTTCACAGAAAATTTTGGAGCCCAATATTATGCATTCCTCAGATTTACCCGTGGATATAATAAAAGTGCGAACGATACATGTAGATAGTAACATAACGTCTGGAGCGTTCTACAACGACAGACCTTCGCACACAATTTACGAGTTTGCCTTGTCCGTCGATCCGGGGTACGCCATCGACGAAACTCCTAAATATCTAACGTACTTGCCAGTAAACAAACGACAAATCTACAACATTACCCTACAGGTTCTGGATCAAAACTTTGAGTTGGTT